GTCCCCCCCCGCCCCCCCCGTCTTTGCCAAAAAAAAGTTCAGGTTTTCTTTCCGGACCCCACTAGCATCCCTGTAAGAGGGATTTTTAAACCACACATTACAAATTATTCATCAGTTCAATTTTTATGATAATACACAGTGCTATACTCTGCATAGCCTTATAACTCATGGCAAAGCATAGATGGTCTCTAACAGATATTGTGCAACTAACTTTTCTTTTGTTTTATTTGAAAATTATTTAATCTTTTCTAATGCAAACCTTTGTGTTATGTAAATACACAAGTGTATAAATTCCTGCCCCATAGTGACCAAGGTATTCATCCCAGTAGTTTATAATTATGATCATTTCAGGCACTGGTAACACTGTGATTCAAGCCATTAATGTCCTCAGAGAGCACGAGGTGAAAGAACACAACATTATTATTCTGAATCTCTTTACTACACCTGCAGGTAAGATAAAAAGACTTGTTTTAATTATGAGCAGTCTAATTTTGTACCACTGGCTTTGTTGGACATGGAAGTGTGGTCCTTGTTTAAATTTGTGTGTAAAGAAAAGCATAGACCACACTTGGCTGGTGGGACTGTTAAAGCACTCTTCTGAAGACATGCACTACTATAGGTGGAGATTCCCAGTCTGGTCTTGTTTTTTACCCTTGGCCCATTTTCAAGGTCATGGTGGTTGGACTTTTTTGGGCACTGTGAGATATGCAAGACAGTTTGCATCAGCACCACCTTGTAGCCTTGTTTGTAAAATGTACAATGATGACCTTTTTTATTTTAAGATAGCAATATGATCCTTAACATTTCCCATCAGGATCTGAAGTGCTATTATCATGACCAAGGTCTAGTAAATAGACTGAAAGCTATCGTTAAAAAAGTTTTTATTTATTTATTTATTATCCATCAGTTAAACTGTACTCTTTGGTCTTCTGTTTCCAGCTGTCAGATCTGTACTCCAAACATTTCCAGAAGTGAAACTGTTGACCTCCGAGGTCCACCCTGTGGCTCCAAATCATTTTGGGACCAAATATTTCGGAACAGACTGAGAAACACCCGTGATTGGTTGACCACATTGAGGCCAAGTATTTTGTGATGACGAGCAAGACGACAGCAATTCATGTTTTGGCCTGCAGAGCCAGTTTAATGGACAACTTTTCCAGTTCTCTGAACACTAGCAGTTGGAACATTTTTCCTTGCTTGAGGATGTCGTGGTCCAAGGCCTACCTCAGAATTATGTCAATATGAATATGAATGATTGGGGGACAATAAAGCTGAAAGCTACTGTCAGGAAATTGTTGGTTTAGTCAAGTAGTAGAAGAGCTAATGTGCAATTTACGAATTGGAAATATGAATCTTTTATCAAAGCTCATGCATGTTATTGTATTAGTAGGTGACTTATTCCTGTACGATGAGCTTTGTGTACGAACTATTGCAATGACATGTTCCTTCTTAAACAATGGGCCATTAACAGACTTACTAAAAGAAGAAATTAGGATATGAGTTGACAAGCTTGTTGAGCCAGTACAATCTGTATTTATTTATCCATTATTTAATTTTATTTATTTATTTGTATATTTACTTAATTTTTTTTTTAGTCTGCATCATCAACATTGGAGCGTTGCTGAGAGCCAGTAAAATTGAAGTTTGGCTAGTTACGTAATATTTTTGTTTAGTTACTGCTATGGTCTATTGGATTCTTAGGTCCTGGTGACCTGAAGGCCCTGTTGGTTTTTTTTTTTTTTTTTTTTTTTTTTTTT